GGGACGGCTGCGGGGTATCTGGCCGGCCCCGCTGCCGGCTTCCCCCGAGGCACACCTGGGCTGCCCCGCTGCCGGAGCCCCTCCTCGGCTTTGCTCCACGTCTTCCTGGTCTGCAGACCAGGGAGATGCAGAGCAGCTTTTCTCGCCCCGGAGGACACGGGTGGCGGGACCGGGCGTCCCGCTGCTCTTGTCGTCCGGGGCGAGAAAATCCCCGTTCGTAACTGCGGATCCGACATAAGTCGGATCCGCGTAACTCGGGGACTGCCTGTATTCAACTTTCTGCCTCAACTTTGAGAGAATTATGGTATTCAATGTTTTACATAAAAAAATATTAATATCTGAAACTCCAGGATTAAGACAGATATAATTATCCAGGGACTGAGACTGGCAGAATGGTAAATTAAAAAGTAAACGCGAACTCCCAGAATGACACACACAGAAACTTACTTATCTTTTTCATCTTTCTTCTTCTGGCTCAATTTGATATCCTTTGCAGTGAGGCCAAATTGCTATAAAATAAAATGCAAATAAGTATTTAACTCACACTCACACTCTCTCTCTATATATATATATCTATATAAAATCAGTTCACCTCCCAAAAATCTTATTAGGTATTATTTATTGTAGCTACACTTTTGAAGTTAAATTGTTGTCTTTGCGGCACAACCTAGAGTAAGGAGCAAAATGGAACTATACTAGCCTACCAGGAGTTCAGGCAAAGATTATGGCTCCTGTCCACCCAAATTTAGGAAACATACCCAACTTCTTGAAGCCCAACAGCTTATTCATATGGCACAAACTCTGCCGAGTTACCACTCCTGCCAGTGTAAACCACATGCTTTAAATTGCAGCCTATTTTATTTTCAAAGAACATAAGAACGGCCATACTGGGTCAGACCAAAGGTCCATCTAGCCCAGTAGCCTGTCTGCAGATAGTGGCCAGCACCAGGTGCCCCAGAGAGGGTGGACAGAAGACAATGGTAAAGTGATTTGTTTCCTGCCATCCTTCTCCAGCCTCTGACAAACAGCCTCTTACCCTAATGAGCTGTTCTTGTTCTAAGCATAATCTTCAGGTCAGAGACAACCTCTATTATGCTGCCCTGGGTCCCCAGTCCTCTTTATCATGTCACACCAGCCAAAGACCAAGAGCTGATAGGTTCCCTTGTTTAAATAGTCTTTTCCCCTGGGCAGGAATCTTTTGTTCTACATTCCGCCCTGCATAGAAAAATACCAGGGTCAAAATGAAATCCCAGTACTCTGTGGTATGGGCATGTCTTACTAGTCCAATCACCTTTGAACTCATTGGACAAACAAGGTGGTTTACAAGTCATTAAGTTAATCACCAATTTGTTAAGGTTTCTGGGGAGCATCAGTAATGACAATCCAGCAACCTAAATGTAGGAAATTTTGTAAACACACACTTTTATCAATAATCACCAATTATTAATTGTCACTCCAGACTTGTACTATCTGTCTCCACCACTCCATGAAAAGAAATTAATATTTTGCCACATTAACAGTGTGGCAAAACCCAGTGACACACTGATACCCAAAAATCTTACCATATTATTTTTCAAATTAAATGGGTTATATTCTCTTTGTCTTCGTTCATCCAGTTTTTTATGATATTCTTCCAGTCTTTCTTTTCGTTTTCTTTTCATCCATACTTGTATTTCTTTTCTCTCTCTTTTTGTTTTTTGAGAATATCCAGCTGAGGTATCATAGATTCTAAGGACAGGTATAAGCATGAAACAATTCAGTGTGCATCCTTTAAACTAAAGTGATGAGACTCATATGAACACAGATTTAAGAGAGAGCTGAAAATTCAAACACAAAACCCTAAGTAATGAACGTTTTGAATAGTCAAATGTTAGTATATCAAGTACATCTTACTATAAATGAACACATGAAAACATTTTCAAGGGATTTTTCTGAAGGTTTTTTTTAGTTATGTATAGACTAGATATAAATAATGCTCTGGAAGCAAAGCTTTAAAAATTGTTCTTGTACAAAGATGAGAAAAGGTAAAAAGAGAAGAGTTTTTAAAATATTCTTTAAATAGACAGTAAGGGTATCTCTACATAGCAACATTATTTCAAAATGACTTAGTCCATGTCTACAAAGCAGGCAGTTATTTTGAAATAGTGTCAAAATACTGTCAAGCTGGAGGATTTTTTTACTCTGACTCGTGTAACCCTCTCTGTATGAGGAGTAAGGGGGACTCAGAGGAAGAGTGCTCTAGTTTTTAAGTAAATGCTGTGTAGACACTCCCAATTTCAAAATAAGCTACACAATTGATGTAGATCAATTCGTATAGCTTATTTCTAATTAAGCCCTGCAGTGTAGACGCATCCTAATGGTATAAGAACCTCAAGGACTAGATTAGATAGATACTATCATCTATCTTTTTCCGAGGCGCCTATATAGGGTTACCTGAACAGGAACTTTGTATATGATTGAAAAATTGTTTTAAATAGCGGAAATAAGTTTTTTAAACAATATAACCTTAATCTTTAGAGACTAAGACAGAGAATATCTTATTGCCTCTGTAGAAAACCATGATATGCCCACATCTTGAATACTGAATACAGATATGGTCGCCTCATCTCAAAAAAGATATATTGGTATTGGAAAAAGTTCAGAAAAGGGCAACAAAAATGATTACGCATTTGGAACGGGTCCCATCTGAAGAGAGATTAAAGAGACTTGGACTTTTCAACTTAGAAAAAGAGAAGAGGAGGAGATGATAGAAGTGATGATAATGTGATGTGATGATAGAAGACAATACAAAATCATCACTGGTGTGAAAAAAGTGAATAAGGAAAAGTTATTTACTTATTCCCACAATATAAGAACAAGGGGGTCACTAAATGAAATTAATAGGCAGCAGGCTTAAAACAAACAGAAGTTTTGTTCACTCAGGGCACAGTCAACCTATGGAACTCCTTGCTAGAGGATGTTATAAAGGCTTGGACTTTAACAGGGTTCAAAAAAGAGCTAGATAGCTATTCATGGACCTAACCTCCATGAACCTATTAGCCAGGATTTGTCTGGAAATGGATGACAGGAGAGGGATCACATGATGATTACCTATTGTGTTCCCTCCCTCTGCGGCATCTAGTATTGGCCACTGTCAGCAGACAGGATACTGGGGTAGATGGACCTTTGCTCTGACCCAGTATGGTTGTTCTGAGGTTCTTAATAGTACTGGAAATATTATTTTAAGATGCTCATCATAAAATTTAACTCATACTCTTTTGAAGAGCCAATACTTTTTAATCGCCATACTCTTTTGAAGAGCCAATACACTTTTAATATAGTGTAATAACCAGTAATAAATATTAGTAACATTATTTGGGATTTATATAGCAGTTTGTCTTCCAAGCGCTTTAGAAATAGACTAAATAATCCTTTCCTTATCTCTTTGAGGTAGGAGACAGATAAGTATTTATTTATCTCCATTTTAAAAATGGCAAAACTGACTAAAAACTAAGGTCTTTTGTACATGAGGACATTCAGGAAAATTAATCCAAATTAACTCAAGGTGTCAATTTGAAGTAGATTAGTTAAATAGTATTAAATCACGTGTGAAAAGCTGTTATTCAGAACTGAAGTGGCCTTAATTTGATTTAAATTATTTCATTCTGGAAGTGAATTAAGATAAACTGAGTTTAAGTCACTTTATTTCCCCATAGAGATATACATACAGAGGCTTAATATGATTTAACTCAGGGGAAGTAATTTTTTTGTCAAGGTTCAGATTCCAGAGAAACATTTTTCACACCACAAGCATCCTTGTTAAACTAACACATACAATGCTGTCTAATATACCCAGGACCTCTTGCTTATAATCTCTAAGAAAGATTTAATAAATTACCTCTGAGACATTCAGAAAACACACTAATAAAATGTCAAACAGATGCAAATATTAGCATTAAAACAATTTCGGACAACTGTTTCAAGTTTTGAATATGTTGAGTTTACAAAGTTTGTGAAACAAAATTATTGTAGATATAACTCTGCAATTTACCTCATTGCTAGCCTCTACTGCCCACCTGCTCCCCACCCCGAGAGTAGGATGGCCATATTTCCTAGTCTGAAAATGAGACACGTGGGGCTGGCCCAAGTTGCCTAGTGTTGCCATGTCCCCTGCCCCCAGGGGAGCCGACAGCCACTCCAGGCCCCTGGGCAAGGTGGGGGGGAGAGGGAGCTCCATGCCTCTGAAAGGGGCGGGGCTGGGGACAGCCACCCCTCAGCACAACCCTGAGTATGTCCCACTGTCCCCTTCCCCAGCCCTTAGAGCTGTGCTGTTCCAGTGGCAATTTAAACAGCCTTTAGAATCACTGGACCCCAAGGAAATTTCCCTCAATGTCAACAGGTCGCCCCTCATTGAACCAAGCAGTAAAGATGGCGGCAAGGAAGAATAAAGATCAGTATGGGTTAGGATATAGTCAGCAAAACAGTCTGAGTACTTTTGAGCTCAAAGCCAGAAGATGATACTATTAGGCTGTGATACAGCTAGTGGTGTGACACCCCCTTGGGGACCAGGATATCAGAGAGGCAGAAAGGAAACTCTGGGTGGCAAGACAGAATAAAGAGATTCCAGAAAGCAGCCCAGGGAAGGTGGCAATGTGGCAGAAGCGGGTGACTGGAGGTGAACTGAGGAGGGAAAAAGAAACTGGTTGGAGCAGGGCTTCAAAGGACTGGGACTGGTTTCAAAGAAGTCCAGAGTAAGGGCTCCAAGGACCGCTTGGGAAAGGAGCAGTGAGGTTGGGGGGCTGAAGGGTGCTCAGATGGTAATGGAGCATGCCATGATTGATGCCTTGGCACAAGTGGACTCTATGAGACTCCACTGGGCTGAGTAGTAGGGTTGCCAATTTTGGTTGGACATATTCCTGGAGGTTTCATCACATGACAGTTTTTAATTAAAGATTCATCTTTAACTCATTGAGAATCCTGGAGGGTTGGAAATCCCACTGGGTTCCCTAGTATGGCCTAGGGCCTACAAGTTATAGCTAAATAGCCCGGCCAGCTTCACTGTATTCAGAGAATCCAGAAAAGAGTTTTAATTAGTGCCCAAACAGAACTGCCCTCTGATTGGGTTGCACAGGAACACAGCACTGCTTCCTGACTGGAGAAGGAGGGCATAGCAAAGATTGGCTATTCATAAGGCAGGAGGGGGAAATAATCAGCCACACCCAGAAGCTTGGCCCATCCACTTTTTTTATTTTTGCAGTCCATTGAAAAGATTCTGGCTGTCTGGACTTGGCCTACTGTCTGCCGACTGACTCCCTGGTTTAACTAATCCTCTTCAAATTTACCCCTCTAGTTAATTTGGATTAATTTTCCTGAATCTCCCGCTACAGTTCTAATGCATATTTTTTCAAATGTGGCCTTTAATTTGTGCACCTCGTTTTTCAGGTCCCCATTTTGAAACATTTAGGACCTGATTCACAGTGGTGTCAAGCACCTGTAATTCCAAATGTGGTTAAGAGATGTTATGGGTATTCAATACTTGTATAAAGTCTCAAGTTGAGCATCTGCAAACTGAAACAAATAAAACAGATGTCTTCAAATCAAGATCTCTTCCTAAAAGATTTGCTCTAGTTTAACCACAAATTATTCGACCTGATTACTGAAAGCATGACTGGCTGAAGTTCTATAACCTATGTTACCCAAGAGGTCAGACAAACAGATCATAATGGTCCTGTCTGGTCTGAAAATGTCTAAAAGCGTTAGTGGGCAACTAGTTGAAACATTTCCTATGTAACTTATTTCCGTTAAACTGATGTCATATATTTTGTGGCAGCTAAATAGATCGTATTCACTTTTTGAATATTAGTCCAACTAGAAGTGCACATATGCTTAATAATGAGCATGTGAAGAGGTTGAGTAAAGTTAAATTTTAGAGACAATGAAATATTATAAAGCATTTAATCATGGTAATTTTAACTAACAAGGTACTTGTTTAATTAGAGTTTTAAACAATTTAATTTACATTACTTAATATTATAACTGCAGTGACTTAGTACAAAGCAGAAGTGAAGAGGAGAGCTATATTATTACCTGAAGATTTTTTTATCTTGGGTTTTTGTAATGCTCATTTCTGTAGGGGAAACACCACCCTCTGTTACAAGATCATTAACAGTACCAGTAATGCAACTCAATCCAGTAATTTGCAAGGGATCATCTGTAAAACTCAAATTAGAGGAAAAAACAATATTGTTATTAAAACAGCAAAATATTTCCAAGAAAAAAAAATAAAATCTTCTTAAAATCTTCACTTTTGAGTTCAGATAGGTAAGAATATTATCCTTATTCAAGAGTTAGTTACCTATACTCCTGTCCACTGAGTTGCCCACATTTCTACATATGTATTATTAGAGTCAGATAGAACTATATTCTAAGTGTGACACACATTAATCCATATTCATTCAATGAAAAAAAACTTCAGCAGG